AAATTTATCGACCGGAATGCTCCCCTCTGCTCCAATGGGACACATGCATGCATGAATATGAATAGAGATGTCTCCGACAGGCGAGCACCATAATTCCAAACATAACACCATCACATTTCCAATACGATTCATCACACCACCATCACATTTCCATCACGATTCCAACATGATATTCAATATAAAGTCATGTGTTCAACTGTTGATAAACAGTTTACCAACACATAGTTCAACCTTCCAAACGTAGTTCAACAGAATATAAACAGATTCTCAACAGCTTACCAATACAAAGTTCAACTGTTTATCCTGTCACTTCATATGGACTACATTAGTCATGCACGTTGGTTTCCTTCACTTTCTGTTGAGCATGGTGCATGTGCCAGGATAAACAGTTGAAAAACAGTTTTTAAACGGTTGTTCGGGGGTGAGACCCCAACGATAAAATAAAAAAAAAAACGGCGATAATTTTTCTGTTGCACTATTCGTCAAGTGTGAGGACGTCAGCGAACAAGACAAGGACGCCAGTGCAGTTGTTCGTGGATAGAAGAACTTTTTCAGGGAGATCGGGGTTGAGAAGATCACGGCCATCTGCACTGACTCCTTCTCGGGGAACAAAAGTGCGGCCACAATGTTGAGGGCGGATTCAGAGTTCCAGCAGATATACTGGATCCCGTGCAATGCGCATTGCATGGACTTGTTCATACAGGATGTTGGCGACAAGCCATGGGCTAAGGACGTCATCAAGAAGGCGAATATGGTCGTGAAGTTCTTTAGGAACCACAGGTGGCCACGATCAATGTTGAGGACGGAGCTGATGGCACAAAAGGGTGTGAAGGTCAGAGTTCTTCTTCGTCATGTTGGATCGACTTTTGACATGCGAGAGAGCCCTTCGTCGCTTGCTGGGGGACTCGTGGATGAACATGGATTGGCAGCCGTACATCAGGACGAACGCTTACGAGGTGGAGTCCCTCATCACTGACAGGGCATTCTGGGCAGATTTGAAGAAGTTGCATCAAGTGATGGAGGGGCCGTACGATGTGCTGAGGATGGTCGACAAGAACATCCACTGCTTATCGAGGGTGTAAGACGCTGCCGTGGACTTGAAGAATTGTGTTCTTCATGCGCCACTCATAGACGATGAGTTTGCGCGATGTGGGAAAGAGGACGGACATGCTTCTCAGCCCTGTTCATGTTGTGGCTCGCTTGTTGAACCCTCGATTGCGAGACATCACCGTCTTCAGCAATCTGGACTTGATGGCGCAATTCAATAGTGTAGTGGACCGTCTCGTTGCAAAGAATGGGAGTCAGAAGTTCACGGACTGCAAAGACCAGCTATACGATTTCCAATTTGGCAGAGGGATCTTTGGTGGCGCAGCAGCATTGAGGAGGGCAAACAAGGACAATGCAGTGTTGTGGTGGGAGGCACGCGGAGGTGGTCATCCGGAGTTGAAGATGCTGGCGATGAAAACGCTTTCGATATGGACCACATCCTCTCCTGCAGAGAGGAACTGGAGTACGTGGTCCCTCGTGCAGACGAAGACGAGGAGCCAGCTAAAGCACAAGCGTACAGAGAAGCTTGTCTACTCGCACTGGAACCTCAGACTGAAGAGCAGGGGGGAAGATGGGCCGACAGTGAAAGGAGGTTGGTTGGGGTTGGAGCAGGACTGGGTGGACGAGGATATCGAAGGCGAGGCTGTTGATATGCTTAATGTGGAGGACGATGATGCAGTCAGGCATGGCGCCACTGGATCTGAGAGGGGCAGCACCAACATCATCACTGCGCGTTGTGCAACTCAGAGTACGACGCATGGACCCGATGTCTTCGAGGAGGAGGAGGAGGAGGAGGAGGAAGAGGAAGAGGAGGAGGAGGAGGAGGAAGAGGAAGAGGAGGAGGAGGAGGAGGACGAGGGAGGTGTGATCCACTAGGAGGTGTGATCCACTAGGAAAGTGTGATCCATTAGGAGGTGTGATCCACTAGGAGGTGTGATCCACTAGGAAGATGTGTGTGAGAAGAGGAGAGGGGGGGGAAGAGAGGAGAGAGGTGTGGTGGCACGCGACTCCATCTATAACAGCCGGTCCGACAAAGTATCGAAGTTGGTTAGGATGGCCGTGAATTTGGCCTCAAATGTGGCTTGTATGTGCCGGAGGATGGCCAGTACAGGGTCTGACTGCGTGGTGGGACCCGAACTGGCGGCCGCAGGGGTGGGAATCTCTATCGAGTCAGACGTGGTGTCACGATTTAGGAACGCAAGGTCTTCGCTGATGGAGCGGAAGGGACTTGCAAAGTCAACACTTTGCATAGAATCAGGGGATAAAAAAAATTAAGAGGGGGAACGGGGGGGCCGCTCAGTGGCAACGATCGGCATGTCAAAGCGAGCGAGTCGGTATGCAGTGCGGGCGTCTCGAGTCTAACAAATTTCTGAAGTTGAATGAAGAAAAATTCAGAGTCAGATTGAGGGAGGAAGAGAAAAAATTCCCAATTCCAGCAAGAAAGGAAATTTTCATAGAATGGCGTGGGGCATAAAGGAAAGCATGCATAAGACAATCACAAAGTTTAAATAAAATTTCAAAATTATTTGGACGTAAATTCGGAATTGAAAGAAAATTGAAGCAAAATTCAACGAATTTTAAAAATATTCGTCAAAATTTTCGAAAGTTGAAGGAAATGATAAAACATGTAGTCTTGAGTACAGAGGAGGATTTTGAATTAAAATTGACAATTCCTTAACGTATTTTTTGAATTAAGATAATTTCAAAGGTGATTTGAAATAAAAATGGAAGACTAATTCATAATTGAAGAATTTACGATGAAATGGCAGAAAGAATTGAATGACAGTCAAGTAAATTGAATTGGGAGGAATTTCAAACTTATCTAGATTAATTAATAAATTGTATTGACATGTTGTAAAATTAAGAAGAATTGCAAAAACTTTTCAAAAGAATTTCAAAACGAATTGCAGAATTTTAAAATTTTACGAGGGATATAAAGTAGAAGTAGAGTGGACGTCAGAGGGATTAAATTTAGTAAATTTCATATTTTATTTTACGAATTTATGAAATAAAGTTAAATTTTAAACTAATTTATGAAAGAATTTGATATAAATAAAGAATTTCACATAACTTTTGACAAAATGGCCGAAATTTATTCCGTTTGCGGCGTTGGAGGAAGACAGAACGAAGATTAATCCCATCGCATTAGGTTGGCGTTCCACACAGCAGGATGAACGACATTGTCAAACAAACACAAAAAAAGGATATATGTGTCACACGCATTAGGAATTTTAGATGATGTGACCAATTGGGTGGGATGGGAGAGGAGGGATTGGGGAATGGGGAGAAGATAGAAGAAGAGGAAAAAGATTGGAACTTTGGGAGAGGTTGGCGGGAGGAAGGGAAAAAAATAGTAAATGACATTAAAAAATTTAAGGAGGAAAAAAAAATAAATGACAATAAAACATTTCGGGCTGTTTTCCGTGATAAAATACGAAAAAATTAAAATCGAAATAAATGGAATTAAAAAAAAAAAAAGTTGCTATATTTTGGGGGGTTATTTTGAATTTTTAACGAATTTAATTGATCATTATGAAAATAATTTAAATCGGGATTTCCAAATTACTTTGAAAAAAGAAAAGAAATGTTGGAAAATAAAAAGGTTAAATTCGAGAAAAATAAAACGAAATTCGACAAAAAAAATAGAGAATTTTCAAAACGAAAAGAAAGATGAATTCGGATTTAAAAGTTGATTTGGTTCTTTTTCGGGGTTTAATTATTTAAGTAATTAAAATATTTGCAAGAAAAACTTTTTGGAATTTCAAAAACGGAAATGCAATTTTTGGGTGGAATAAATGAAAATTTAGGGTATTTCCGAAGAAATTCATTTCGAAAAGCAAAATATTCGGAAATTTTTCGAGATTCAAAAGTATTTCAAAATGGCTAAATTGTTATGACCCAGGCCAATTTCGAGATACACATCCACTGGAAAGTACAATGCCATCCAATTGCAGAAAGAAATGAATGAACTCGAGAGGTGAGAGAGGAGTAGAAGAAGAAGAAGAAGTAAGAAAGAAGAAGAAGAAGTAAGAAAGAAGAAGAAGAAGATGTACACCAACAATGCCAATGACAAGGCTCTTCTTCTTCGCCCAACAATCTCCTCCTCCTTATCTCCCCCTTCTCTTATTCATACAAGAAATAATAATACATTGTTGAATGACTGGTCCAGAATCATGTCCGAGTCCCTTTTCTACTGCAGGTATCACTCAAGGTCCACCATAGCCATGGCCGCCCCTCCCACTCTTCACACAAATAGGCCGAGGCTATGGCGGACTACTAGGCCTTGCTCCGATGTCCTAAGGACAACTCAGAGCAGCTATGGTTGCTCTAGCTCAGGCCGCCATGCCCAGCCCTGCCTTGAAGCTTCTTGGTGTAGCTGCCCTGGCTGGGGACTTCTTGCAGCAGTGCCCACCAAGGTGATGAAGATGGCTGCCACCGTAACCAGGTAAGTACCCCTGGCGCTCTTCCCCCTTCCTCCTTCCTTCCTCCTTCCTCCCTCTTGTCCTTCTTCTTCCTCCCCAGCAGCGCAGCTCCAACCCAGCGCTGCTCCCTCCAGTGCTCCACCAGTGTGTCACCAAACTTGCACACCGAAAAAGAGGCCGGGTCTTCCGCCCGGCCGGAAGATATAGCGGCCTGCTTTGCCTCTTGAGCGGTGACTTCCAGGCCGTTGGCCTTCCCAAGCAACCGGTACCTCTTCCTCCTTTTGGAGGGAACATCATTGCAGACTCTGGTATTGCCCCTACAGGCCCTAGACACAGACTGGTACCCGCTAGACCTAACCTACACTACCGGCCTCTAAAAATCCCACTTTTGTCTTCTTCTGCTCGGCCTCCGGTACCTGCATATTTACCCCCCTGCCGGGTGCAGTACCGGCCTACCCGCTACTTGAGTGCTTTTTCCCTGCTGCAACCCTTCGAAGCCACGGCCACAGGTAAGTACCGGCCCTGAGGGCCCAGCGAGCGAACAAGTGCCCTGGCGGGCCACACACACACACACTCATACCAACCAGCACCCAGACAGGCATGATCACACATGCAAGCCAACCAGCACTCAGACAGGCATGGTCACACACGCAAGCCAACCAGCACTCAGACAGACATGCAGTCCAGCAAGCACACACACACACAGACTTAGCAGGCGGGGAACTCAGTAAGGCATTCAGTCTATGCGCAAAACTCAGAAATCAGCTGTGTGTTTCCGTCCGTGTTTGGACGGGTTATCACAAAATTGATTAATTGTGAAATTAATTTTCTAAAAATAAATGACAAGGAAAAGAGAATAATAATTGCAGACTATGAAAAAGAAAACTAACTGCGAAAAAAGAAAATTTTTTGAAAAGAATTTACTTTCAAAACGAAAAAAAAAAAAAAAAAGGGCAAGTTCTATGATATTCGATGATTTGTAAGCCTTGTCCTGTGCCATTAGTCGCGCGGGTAGGGGAGGGAGCGCGAAG